AGCTGTCTGCAGTTCCATCCTAAAAGTTGAAATCATGAAATTACCTAAACCTACCAAGGTGTTAGATAAAGGAACCCTGTTGGTATGAGTATTGTACTACTGGTGTTTTGGGTATGACACAAAAGCTGTTCTGTTTCTTTTCAATTTATAAAGGGATGTTTGGGATTAATGGGAGTATACTTTTACTGTGTGTTTAAAATCTTTGAATTATTATTATAAGTATGTCATTTGGTTTATTCTATTTTATCTTCATTTCTTTTGTTAATCAACTTTTGTTTTATTGTTAAAGCAGAATATGCAGCATTGCATGCTTAGGTTTCAATGAGAGACCACTTTCTTATATCAAATTGAATAAAACAAAATGTCTCTCAAGTTAGATTTCTGTCTGGGATCTAACTGATCTAGTAATAACATCAACTAGATCATAACACTAATGACAACTCACATATACAGCATATTGAGTCTTTGGGTTTATAGAATAGCACACCACAGAACTAGCCATTTGATCTATGAGTCTGTACCAGTTCTTCAAAAGGCCAATCCATATAATCCCACTCCCCTACTTATCTCCATTTCCCTTTAATTTCTTTCTCCTCCACGTACTTACTCAATTCCTTTTGAGATCTTCTACTTTAATTGAAGATGAAATTGGCTAAGGGATCTTTGAGACAAGTATGTAATGACAGCAGGCTATACCAATCCTAATCATAAATGCAGATATAAAATGGTTGATAAATGTAGACATCAACACAGTAAATCATTTAAGTTTCTCAAAAAAATTAACCTGCAAATAACTTTAGAAATGAGAATGGTGTAAAGCATCCCAAGATGATTCAGATAAATAATCACATAAAAATTAACACCAAACTATGTAAAGGGATATTAGGACCGGGGTTGGTAATTATCTTCCTCTTTGTACAAGATGGGGGTGTGGTAGAGGATGAAAGGCTCCAGATATTCCTCCTCAGCACCATTTTCCACCCTCCCTTCACTTAGGTGCAGCTGCAGAAACATCCATTTGGCCACGCTGGTCTATCTGACCTTTACCATCTATGGAATCCTTCTGCAAAACTAATTACTAGCATATCATTTTACTCCTTTCTCCCTTGGGTGTTTACCTAACTTCCCTTAAAGGTATCTTTACTGTTCACTCAACTACTCCTGTGATAGCAAATTTCACATTTTCACCACCACTATGAGCTCCTGGTTTTGGACTCCCCCACAATGAGAAACATCTTCCATATGTCTGGCCTCACAAACCCTTGAAAAGGACGATGCAGTTGGTCATTGTTGGGCATTGTATGCCAACTTCCCCAGTGATGCAAGTAAATAAGTAAGGTTGTCAGTTAAAGAATGGGTGGTAGAGGAAAGGCTGGAGAAAATGGAACAAGTGATGAGAGTGTTACAAAAGAGGAAGGTATTTTGAGATAGTAGGAACTGACGATGCTGGAGAATCTGAGATAACAAGGTGTAGAGCTGGATAAACAGAGCAGTCAAAGCAGCATCAGAGGAGCAGGAAAGCTGACATTTCGGGTCTTGACCCTTCTTCAGAAATGGGGGAGGGGAAGGGGACTTTGAAATAAAAAGCGGAGGGGGGAGGCGATGATGAATGGTGGATAAAGGAGCAGATATGTGGAGAGAAGATGGACAGGTCAAGGAAGCAGGGATGGAGCCAGTAAAGGTGAGTGTAGGTGGGAAGTTGGGATGGGGGTTGGTCAGTTGAGGGAAGATGGACAGGTCAGGGAGGCGGGGATGAGGCTAGTATGTAGGAAGTGGGGGTGGGGGTTGGTCAGTGAGGTGGGAGGAGCAGATAGGTGGGAGAAAAGACAGACAGGTCAAGGTGCCAGGGACGAGCTGGGCTGGTTTTGGGATGATGTCAGGCGTGGGGAGATTTTGAAGCTTGTGAAGTCCACATTGAGACCATTGGGCTGCAGGGTTCCCTGGCGAAATATGAGGTGCTGTTCCTCCAGCCTTCGGATGGCATTGTTGTGGCACTGGAGGAGGCCTAGGATGGAGATGTTGTCCAAGGAGTGGGAGGGGGAGTTGAAGTGGTTCGCGACAGGGAAGTGTTGTCATTTATTACGAACCGAGCATAGGTGCTCCACAAAGCGGTCTCCAAGCCTCCGCTTGGTTTCCCCGATGTGGAGCAGATGAACATCTGTTTAATGTGGAAGGTTTTCATGGGTCCTGGGATGGGGGTGAGGTGTAAGGGCAAGTGTAGCACTTCCTGCGGTCGCAGGGAACGGTGCCAGGGGTGGTGGGGCTAGTGGAGAGTGTGGATCGGACGAGGGAGTCACGGAGAGAGCGGTCCCTCAGGAAAGCAGGTAAGGGTGGGGAGGGAAAAATGTCTTTGGTAGAGGGGTCAGATTGTAGGTGGCGGAAGTGGCAGAGGATGATGCGTTGAATCCGGAGCTTGGTGGGGTGGTACGTGAGGACGAGGAGGATCCTCTCTTTGTTGTTATTGTGGGGAGGGGGAGTGAGGGATGAGTTGCGGGAAATGCAAGAGACATGTCGAGGGTGTTTTCGACCACTGTGGAGGGGAAATTGCGGTCCTTGAAAAATTAGGACATCTGGGATGTCCGGGAGTGGAATGCTTCATCTTGGGAGCAGATGCGGCGGAGGCGAAGGAATTGGGAATAGGGGATGGCATTCTTGCAGGAAGGTGAGTGAGAGGAGGTGTATTCTAGGTCGCTGTGGGAGTCGGTAGGCTTGAAATAGATATTGGTTTCCATGTGGTTGCCAGAGATGGAGACAGAGAGGTCCAAGAAGGAGAGAAAGGTATCGGAGATGGTCCAGGTGAACTTAAGGTTGGGTTGGAAGGTGTTAGTAAAGTGGATGAACTGTTCGAGCTCCTTGTGGGAGCACAAGGCGGCACCGATACAGTCATCGATGTAACGGAGGAAGAGGTGGGGGATGGTGCCAGTGAAGCTGCGGAAGAGGGATTGTTCCATGTATCCTACAAAGAGGCAGGCATAGCTTGGGCCCATGTGGGTACCCATGGCCACCCCCTTTGTCTGTAGGAAGTGGGAGGAGTTGAAGGAGTTGTAAAGGGTGAGGACAAGTTTGGCTAGGCGGGTAAAGGTGTCGGTGGAGGGGGACTGGTGTACTGCCCTCTGCTCTCTGTTTCCATCTCTGGCAACCACCTGGAAACCAACATCTATTTCAAGCCCACTGACTCCCACAGCGACCTAGAATACACCTCCTCTCACCCACCTTCCTGCAAGAATGCCATCCCCTATTCCCAATTCCTTCGCCTCTGCCGCATCTGCTGCCGAGAGGAGGCATTCCACTCCCAGACCTCCCAGATGTCCTCGTTTTTAAAGGACCACAATTTCCCCCCCAACAGTGGTTGAAGGCGGCCTCGACCACATCTCTCACGTTTCCTGCAACCCATCCCTCACACTCCATCCCTGCAATAACAACAAAAACAGAATCCCCCTCGTCCTCGCGTACCACCTGACCAAGCTCTGGATTCAACACATCATCCTCTGCCACTTCCGCCACCTGCAATCTGACCCCACTACCAAAGACATCTTTCCCTCCCCACCCTTATCTGCCTTCCGGAGGTACCGCTCTCTCCGTGACTCCCTTGTCCACTCCACACTCCCCACCACCCCAGCACTTTTCCCTGCAACCGCAGGAAGTGCTACACCTGCCCCTACACCTCCTCCCTCACTCACATCCCAGGCCCCAAGAAAACCTTCCACATTAAACAGACGTTCACCTGCACATCTGCCAATGTGGTATATTGTATCCGCTGTTCCCGATGTGGCCTCCTCTACATCAGAGAAACCAAGCGGAGGCTTGGAGACCACTTTGTGGAGCACCTACGCTCAGTTCGTGACAAACGACTGTACCTCCCAGTCGCGAACCACTCTAACTCCCCCTCCCATGCCTTGGACAACATGTCCATCCTGGGCTTCCTCCAGTGCCACAACGATGCCACCCAAAGGCTACAGGAACAGCATCTCATATTTCATTTGGGAACCCTGCAGCCCAACGGTCTCAATGTGGACTTCACAAGCTTCAAAATCTCTCCACCGCTGACCTCATCCCAAAACCAGCCCAGCTCGTCCCCACCTCCTTGACCTGTCAATCTTTTGTCCCACCTGTCTGCTCCTCCCACCTCACTGACCAACCCCCGCCCCGACTTCCTACCTTCCAGCCTCATCCCCGCCTCCTTGACCTGTTTGTCTTCCCTTAACTGACTAACCCCCATCCCAACTCCCCACTTACACTCACCTTTACTGGCTCCATCCCTGCCTCCTTGACCTGTCCGTCTTCTCTCCACCTATCTGCTCCTTTATCCTTCCATCATCGCCTCCCTACCCCCTCTATTTATTTCAAAGTCTCCTTCCCTTCCCCCATTTCTGAAGAAGGGTCCAGACCCGAAAGGTCAGCTTTCCTGCTCCTCTGATGCTGCTTTGACTGCTGTGCTCATCCAGCTCTACACCTTGTTATCTCAGGTATTTTGAGGTTGAGAACATCAGTCGCTCTGTGTCAATGGAGGTACATAATCATATCATTTAATCATCATATTATAAAAAAAAATTGATTACAGTGCATCAAATGATGGCATCTGCCTAGTTTATTGGATAACAAGTCAGTTTGAACTTAAGTGGATTTAAAAATCAATTATAAATGTTGACATATTGTGGACGAGTGGTTTGGGCTGCACTGTAGTGATGGAACAAGTCACAGCTTTCATATATAGGGGACAAATCCATAAATGGAGTGTTGTTTGCTTTATTTAACATCTCTTTAGCCATGGGGATTCCAACATTAGAGCCACACCTGAGCAGACAAATAACATCCTTGGGTCTCAGCCTAATCTACCCTCCTGATTCTCACTTTCCCAAGAGATAAGTCAACCATGCTGATTCTTTAACTGCAGCAGTCAAGCGCATTCACTGTAATTCACCAGTGGGACAAAGGGAATAAAGATTAAAGCTTTAATTGTACAGACTGGAGAAACATCTTGTAAAAATAGCAAACTTGAATTACGTTAAAAATTACCTGTGGTTTTATTGCCAATTCTGTACAATAGTAGCATTTTAAAAAATAGAATAATATCATGATATGCACATCTTAAACACTCTGTACATAACTACAATATTAAACGTTGATTCCATTGTAATCTGATCAAAATTGAAGAGTAATCAATATAAAGTACTGCACCAAAAGTTAAGCACTAGTAGATTTTGATTTAACTGAAAGGTTATTTAACAGTGATTATATGTCATCCCCTATGTCAGAGAGTTTGTTGAATGTTGCTGACGAGCCCGTGTTGTAAGCTTTTGTCTTAATTCTCGTATTCCGGTCATTAATTCACGCTCCTTGTTTTCCAGGTCAGTTCTTCCTCTGTCTAAAGACACTAAATAATAAGACATTAGAGAAGTGTTGATATTCCAAAATATCATGATTTTCTTTGCAGAAATACCTTTAAAAATTATTAAAATGTACCTGAATACTTGTATCTGCAGGGTTTCATTATTTTACATTTTGTTTGGGGGTGGCCATGGAGGGACAGGAAAGAAACAAAGGTCATTCTCTTGTCCTATTCAATCATACTACTAGCCTATGAGGCATTATCTTCAAATTGTAAAGTGCAAAGTTCAACTGCACATATTAGATATGAAAAGAGGCTGCATTCCTTTGTTGTACTGTAGAAACAATGAAGACACCATAAAACATTTTGGCCATGAAGTATCTTGGACTGCCTTGAGGTGGACATTGTATAAATGCAAGTCTTTATGCCAGGATGCATGCTGGCAAAGATGTTAGGAAATACGGTTAAATGCAGCAAATTCAGGACTGAAAAATAAACAAAAATGTGTGAAAGCGGGTTCATTTGAGAAAACAAAGCATTTTTCAGGAAAAGAAGGACAATCTTTTATTTCTTATGGACTCTGCTTGCAGTCAAAATGCAAAATACCTGGTGAAATATATTAAGAGAGAGGTATCTGCCTCATGTTAGCCCGTGGCTTTAAATTCAACCCCAAGAATGAGAAGTTCAAAATCCAGATGTTGCTTGACTGGGAACTTGTGTAAGTCAATTGGCAAAGGGGATGATGTTTGAATGGGACTTGGTGTGAGTTAGGATATGGGCAGCAAGAGTTTTGATGAGCTCAATAAACCCCATGTACTACTTCAGGATACTCACAAGTCAGAACATGCCAAGCATTCTGTCCAAAAGAGTCACACTGTACATGTCTAATCCTTCACACTCTGACTTGAGGCATGCATGTCTATTCAATAAGATCCACACTATACAATGATGCTCATTTCAAGTTGAAGGAGCAGTAGAAATGAGCATCGTGCAAGAATCTGAAGTGACAGGATCACTTCTGATTAAATAATGCTTCCTGATACATATGTCTTTAGGAAGCATGCATATGGTGGAATTTTAGACCAGAGGCAACTTGAATGAGGACCATGTGGAAAAGGAATGAATTAAAACTTAATTACAAAAAATATGCCTTCCTTCAAAAATGGGGAGAAGGATATACTTTGCAGTTACAGGCCAGTTCGTCAGAGGTGGACAATATTTTAAAAATAATAATAATCAGGGCAACAATCAACAGTGGCTTGAAAAAGCATGTTAGCAACATTGAAGTCCATGGAATAAAGCGGCCAGAGGCAGCATGATACAAAGCTAATGGAGAGAAAATGGAGTTGTGGAGAACGGCAGTTTTGATCTAGGTGATATACAGTGAGGTTCTTCAAGGTTCAGTACTAGGACCACTATTGTTTTTAACATAATTGACTTGGTGGTCTAGGGTACAATTTTCAAATTTGCAAATGATACAAAGTGTAAGCAAATAATGAAGAAAACAGTGACAGACTTCAAAAGGACAAACAAGCTGGTGAAATAGTTGGACATGCGGCAAATCATAGAATGATCACAGAATCCCTACAGTGTGGAAACAGGCCCTTCGGCCCAACAAGTCCACACTGACCCTCAGAGCATCCCACCCAGACCCATTCCCCACAACCTACCTAATCTACACATCTCTGAACATTATGGACAATTTAGCATGGCCAATCCACCTAGTCTGCACATCTTTAGACTGTGGGAGGAAACCCACGCAGACAGGGAGAATGTAAACTCCACACAGACAGTCGCCAGGGGGTGAAATCGAACCCAGGTTCCTGGCACTGTGAGGCAGCAGTGCTAACCACTGAGCCACTGTGCCGCCCCGCTATGAAATTCAAGAGAAAAAAGAAGTATGATGTAAATTTTGGAGAGAATGAGGAACTAGAGAGAAGAGAGATCATGCTGTATTTGCACAAAAATCCTTGCTAATATGCCTGTCACCTTCAAAGAACTTGAGAATTTCAGCTTAGTAAACATAGATTTAGACTAAAAGCCAGGTGGTAGTTCTAAATCTATGTGAAATGTTAGTTTGGATCTAGTTGATGTAATATGTCAGGTTCTGGGTACCACACCTTAGGAAGGATGTGAAGGCTGTGGAGATTGACGAGAATTGTTTTAGAAATACAGATTACAGAACACACTGGAGAAGCTGGGGTTTTCTCCTTGGAACAGAAAAGACAGGGAAGAGATGTGATAGAATTATTTAAAATCACAAAGTGTTTAGATAGTGTAAAAAAGAGAGACCATTTCTGATGGCTGGAGAGTCAATAACCAGACAGCACAGATTTAAGATAATTGACAAAAAAAAACTACAGGTAAATTGAAGGAAAATCTTTTGCACAACAAGTAGTTAGGATTAAGTAGAAACAGACTCAGTCATAAAGGGAACTAAATAAATACTTGAAGGATAAAACTTACAAGAACATGGGGAAAGAGCATGGGAATGGGACTAAGCAGACTGTCTTCAAAGAGTTGGTGTGAATTCAATGGACAATATGCCCTCCTCCTGGGCTGTATTATTCAATGACTCAGTGATTTGAAAAAAATGATAAATCTGATCAGGGTGCCACTAATTTACTAACTCACGTTGAACAGAGGAATTTAATGATACATTGTTCAAACAAAGGCTGCCAGGTATTTGTTCTCCACTGCCTTGTAACAGATCGATTCCTTGCTTTGTTGGACATCCAGTTCTTGTGTCATAAAGCCTCTCTAGGGAAGGGAAAAATAGCAAACTCAAACTCAAATAGTATTGCACAGTACAGCACCTTTTTCATGACACGCAAGAATGTTACTCAGTAATTACAGTAAGTGTTGAAAAACACAATAAAGTAAAAGTTGTGTGGATGCTGGAAATCCAAAATATGAACATAAAAAAAACTGAAAAAGAAAAGATCAGGCAGCATCTGTGGAGGAAGAAGAGTTAACATTTCAAGTCAATGACCTTTTATTAGAATCATTCAGAATAAGGAAGACCCCCTTTGTTTCTCATTAATTTCTGTAAATTATTTAATGCCACCCCATTCTTCAATCGCTTGTCCCTCTCCACCAGGACACATCTGATTCTAGACATAGTCAGATCTATATTGGCCTGGGCGGGTGCTAATAAGTAGTTACTTAGCATTCCAGAGAACAGGTATGATGAGCTGTGTGGCCTCCTTCAGCGTGGTATGATTTAAACTCTGGAAACCGCTCCTTCTTTAGATGGTTGTTCTGGCACTGAGGAGTCCAACTAAACACACAAAACTTACAAATGATATAATGAGGGTAAAATACACACCAATATATTACTTTGATGTTGACAATTGTTTTGTCAAAAGAAATCATTTTCCAGATGAATTTCTTTAGCTTAAATATGCTACAAAAATAAAAATGTTCGCTGTTTTGTTTTCGATTCAGGAAGTACACAGGTTTCACATTCAGCTGATTACATTTGCATTTTAGAAGCATTGACCCAATATGCCATGCTTCTTTAAAGATCTCAGTAGTTAACACACAAACAGGGAATCAGATTGAGGTAGTTTTGCATAGTGTATGATACCTTACATTCTTTCCAGATCTTTGAAGTGTTTGCTGACACTTTTGTGAAAACAGCCTATTTGAATTTCTGACACTTGTCTGTTATTCTTGCCTCCACCTTCCAAATCACATGCCTTAAATTCTCAGTCCTGTAAGAAAGGGCTTTACACCAGACACACTGTAGGCTCATACCTGAACACTAACCACCCTTAGTAAAACCAATGGGCCATCCATGCATTTCCTGCCTTTTGCCAACTTACATCCCATTGAAAAAATGGTTTGGATGTTTACCAAATAAATGTTTGTGTTGATTGCCATCAGGTTCCATTGCTTGACTAGTTTCATCTGATAACAATGAGGGTATATGAGCACCAGCAGCTGCTTTGTCTTGAGATACTTTTAGCTGAGCATGTCTTTCGACAACCTCATTCCACTGCACAAAAAATTAAGAAAAGGGAATCAAACAAAACAGGCTTTAGAATTATACAGAAATTAGACTGAAATCCCTTCCCAAATTAAATACCCAACTCCCATAAAATGACTGCCAAATGCTTCCCTGCAGTTCATCTACAATTCAAAGCAACTAACTCTTGGCTTATTATGGAAACCAAATCTGCTTAAAGTGCAGAACTATTTCATAAATTGGCTAATTTTATGCCTATTTATTTCTGTATATACATTTCCAAATACCAGTGCCTCTTCATGCTCAGAATGTCTCAATGTGCTTTATGGTATAGGATTATTCTTGTGATCGTCACTTAAAGGTCAACATGCTGGGTTAGTGATGTACTTGGTTAGCTGACAATCGCCAATTTCAGGGTTAAACTGGTCTTTGCTCTTTGAAAATAAGAATGGCATTGAACATCTAATCATTTCCTGAAGGAATACTTCAGAATCAATTTAAAAACAGTAACAGCTGAAATAATTGCACAGAGACCAGTATCCCATCACCAGGTCACCGTTTATTTACTTGTGGCCAGCCAGCTCGGGAGTCAGCCCCCTGAACTGAGGGGATTCTAAATCCCGGGATTATATTAGTCAGCCAGGGCTTCCTGATAGGCGTAAGTTAACAACCCCAAATAAGGATCTCGTATTCAACAAGGTCCACCTGGTTCCAATCACTACAACAGCACACCCCATTTGTTAAAGAGAAATCGATCATTTTACCTCCAAGATAGCACAACTTAACTAATACTTTTAGGCGGCATTCACAGAACTAAATGCCTAACTTGGCCGTTCAACTTGTGGTTATAACATCTCTCCACAAAGTACAGATTTTGAAATGGCAAACGAGTTGAAAGTACATGTCCAAACAAGCAAGTTATAAATCACTGCTTCAGCCTCAGCTAGAGAATATGGCCAGTTCTGGGCATTAAGAAATTGTGATGATTTTGATTCACTTCCTGAAAGGGTATTGCTCCAGAAACAGAACAAAAAGAAACTTTCTAAAGGAATTGGATCAATATTTGAAGGGAGAGAAATGTAGGGCTCTGGGAACAAACAGAGGAGTAAGAATAATTTAACAGCTTTCAGAAATGGCATTGGTATGAGGGTTGAATGGATTTCTTCTGTCCTGCAGATTGAGTGATTCTATGAAGTGGCATGCAGTTAAAGAATTCTGAAACTGGATATTATTCTGTTGCTATTGTCACACAAAGAATTTAACTATCCAATAATTGAGGCCTGTATTTGCACACACTGACCTAGGGATGTTTATTAATTTGTGCTGGGGGGCCAGTTACTTGTATCAGAATTGGCATACAAGCTGCACAATGACAGAAATCCAAGTACATTCATTACTTAGCTCATTGTAATTTTATGATCTTTACACATCCACATCAAAAACGAACAACAGTTGGAAATTTGACATAAATGACCACTGGAAAAATACAGTAGCCCAATCTACAATACAATACCTACTCTGAACTTAATCAGATAGTGCAAACTCTTCTCACCTGCCTTACTAATATGATCTAACATTCTGAAATATTAGAAGCCATCAGATAATGTTTATGTTTCTTTTGAATGGAAGGTCTTTCTCATTATCAGTTAAAATCAAGGGGTGGAGTTGAGTGACACATGTATATTCAAGCATTACCGAACAGAAAGTCCATTTTACAAATGTTTCACATTACTCACCTTTTTGCCTTCAACATCCTTCTTTGCTTGCAACAGCTTGATCTCCCTTTCTTTATTTTCATTGGCAAGCCGTGCTAACTCTGCTTGGTATTTTTCCTGATCCAAATTGTAGACCCTTTGTTTCTCCAGCATCTGTGCTTGCCAGCCTAGACTGGGTGACAGCTGATCAATTTCAGCTGGCTCTTCATCGTTCTAATCAGAAATGTAACATATTTATAATAAGGAAGAGTATATATTTTCCACAGTTTCTTAAGATAAGTCCCAGTACAAAGTAGAAAGGATCTTCAAAGCACTCACCAGAAATAAATTATTTACAGGAAAACATGAAGATCATATTAATTGGAGTTGTTATAGTAGTAATACTAAGTAAGAACATGGCGTCTGTCATATTTTTGTCTAACTTAAAATTAGTGACAAAACAAAACACACATGTTTGCATTAGTGATAGATTAGTTGTACTTCAGCACAAGGAATCCAAGCTCTGGTCAATATAATACTGAGTTAGTAAGAAATCCACTATACTTTCACCCCTACCCAACTTTTCCTCATTAAAAACATTCAAGACTAATACAAAGAACCCATATCAAAGAACATAATTTCTGACATACAAAAAGTTTTGACTACATTTTGATCATTTAATTTTCTCATATAGGCAAAATAAGGGAAGTATGTGGAGGCTGATTACCAGCGTGGTAGACCACAATGCCAGCTGAACTTGCATGGTTGTAATCAACTTTAGAGAACTTGGTAGGTTGAGTTATCCCTACAAAGTGACAGGCTCCCACAATCCATGAGATTGCTGGCTCTTGAAAGATTTTATACCTGCAAGTTAAGCTGATTATTTTGTGTTCTTTTATATATAAACATAGCATATAAATGTCAATTATCTTAGGTAAACATTGTGATTTGCCACAAAGTACTTTTGTGCTCTTCAGACAGGTCAGATATTTATTGTGGACAGACCTTATCAAAAGAGATAGTCGGAACTGCAGATGTTGGAGAATCAGAGATAACAAGGTATAGAGCTGGATGAACACAGCAGGCCAAGCAGCATCAGAGGAGCAGGAAAGCTGACGTTTCGGGCCTAGACCCTTCTTCAGAAATGGGGGAGGGGAAGAGGGTGTTGAAAGAAAGGGGGGGGGGGGGGAGGGAAAGAGTCTCCTCTCCACCTATCTTCTCCTCTATCCATCTTCTATCCGCCTCGTCCTCTCTCCCTATTTATTCAGAACACCCTTCCCCTCCCCCATTTCTGAAGAAGGGTCTAGGCCTGAAACCTCAGCTTTCCTGCTCCTCTGATGCTGCTTGGTCTGCTGTGTTCATCCAGCTCTACACCTTGTTATCCCTTATCAAAAGATACTGTGGTTCCATAATATGCAACTTGTGCTGTGCGCCAGATTACAGCATTTGCTGTGAGGCTGAGTAATAGGATTGGGAGACAGCCTGAACTGTAATATCAAATCATCAAATGCACATAATGTACCTTACAATCCAGAACATCAGTATATTGGTCTGTTTCCAGCATCCTCTTAAACTTCTGTTCTTCAACATCTGCCTGGATCCAATTGGTGTTCAAGTGTCCTTTCACATCTCGCGTCACAGCCTCCTGGTCCTTGGCAAGTTGCTACAATTGCATTATTACAGTGGCATAGAATTATTTTTTGAATAATCTGTAAAGAGCTAGCTGACCTGTAGATGTATAGACACTGTATGACATGCAGAACATAAATGATAGTTTGAAAAAATTAAGAGATGATCGCTCAACATTATTTTTTTTAAAAAGAGAGTTGCTTCAAAGGAAAGGCTACAGTACGGAGACTGAATTATCTCAAAAGTCTGTAATTAAATTTATCCAAGTTCTGAGTTGAGAAAATTTTTGAAATATACATCAATGTAGTTTGAGCCGACCAGATTAAGATTTTTTTTTTGAAGCTCAGTAAAATGCATTAATATTTATGATTGGTATGTTCATATTTTTAACAGTGATGGATAACAGTAGATAGGAATATTGCATACTTGCTCAAATATTTTTTTCTGCATCTCTAGTTCCAAATTTCTGACCTCAATGTCCTGAATTAATGCAGCAGTTTCCCTGCTTCGGAGAGCAACCTTAAACCGAAAAGAGACTTTTTTTTACTTCAATAAAGTATTTGATCACCAGCACAATACTGAAGCAGCGTCAAGTTTGGTGGGAAGGATGGGAAAAGACCAAGCTTGAGGTTCCCTACATGGGGAGTTTCTGACCTTCGTCACGTCATTGTGGGGAACTGATACTCTTGGCAATTATCCTCCACAGTGAGATGAGGAAAACATTACCACAATCCAGATTGCTGTTACCCACTGCTGGAAGCAGGCAAATAAATCTTAACTTTAAGTGGACTTGATAAATGGTGCGGGCTGAAAATGATACAAGATGTTTGACCGAAGAAAGTTTGTTACATATTTTATAGGAAATGTTGCAATAAAACATTTCTGTGTGGAAAATCACTGTTTAATCTTATGTTTAGATGGGAAAATGACAAAGAAAGGCAACTGCTTGTATTCATTAAAAACTTTTCATGTAATAAAGCATCTGAAGTTACTTCACAGGAATATTATTAAAAAATGATAATGAGCCACCTAATACACCTAAGGGTGTATTAGGCCAGGCAACCAAAAGCTTGTTCAAGAAGGTACATTTTAAGGAACATCTTAAACGAGGAAAGTGAGGCAGAGAGACAATGAAGTTTACGGAATTTTGTAAGAGTTAAGAGTCTTGGCAACAGAAGGCACAGTCATCAATATCATAGCAATAAAAATGAGGGATGATCAGTAAGTCATAATTAGAAGAATACATATTTTGGAGGCTTGTGGAACAGTGAAGATTACAGACAGTGAGGGTTGAGGCCACAGATGAATTTGAAAACAAGACTGAAAATTGTACATATCTGTATCTATAAAAATCTGTAATTGAATTTGTAACTGGAATCTGGTAGTAAAATTGGGACAAGCTGATCCATTGGGTGCAAAATTTTGATCAGCCAAGTCAGCTAATCTTTACACATGCAATCAGGTCCAGAGAATCTGCGATAAAAAAATAACAACAGTAGCTGCTCTTTGGTTGCTCATAATCTCATTCATAGTGGTCATAGAGTGGCAAAGACTTAGAAGCAAACTGGTAACCTCTTCAGGAATACGCCCAAGGTGTCCAAAAATGGAGGGAATAGCATAATGTTGGAAACCAAAACTTTCGAGATAAACCAGAAAAACTTACTGAACGTCAAAATTCTCACAGAAATTAAGGAATCGAAAAGAATTTAAAAAGTAATCTTTAATCTCACAGACCTTCCTGTCTATTTCATCATCAAGTCTTCTTAATTCAGATTTCTGTTGGTCTTGCTGATGTTTCAGGAAACGCCTGTGTGCTGCATCCAAGATTTGAAGTTCTTTTACCTTCAATTCACGTTTCATAGCAGCAAGTCTTCAAGGGAAGAAATATAGTATTTATCAAAGAAATGCTGGCTAGGTTTCTGCACTTTGCATAAGGTTAATATTTAGAATTGCACCTTTAAGATAGCTAGACACCACAAAATGTGACTCTTTAGTATTAAAGGTCTCCACCTTATTCTCTTTACAGTCAGCAACTAATCAGCCAGCCAGAAAACTACGTACGTAACGCAAGACAAGTAAGCACATAGCCCAGTGTGAAATGCCACATGTGGACATAGTTGTGAATAAACATCTAGATACCTGTCTTCATAAGAATATGAGTCTCTGTGGTATCTGTGGTGTGTGGGACAACATATAGAAAGTCACTTTGTATCAAATACCATGACTGTACTTGTAAGAGCTTGGCCTATTCTAAATTGAACAGACTGGTGCAGATTACCTCACTCTCTGTTCTACAAGTTTTTGTTCCTCTTCATGTAGAATCTTTCTCCTTTGCTCCTCAGCTTCCTGGAGTAGCTGCTGTTGCCGGTACCAGGCTGCATTCTCAGCCTGCCTCTTCACACTTTCAGCTTGCAGCCCATGTGCCAATTGCCTGAACAGACCACGAAGCAAAAATAAATTAATTTGACAAGAGAAAGTTTTTGTTGTAAATTTACAGTGGAACTATATGAATTTGTATATGCAGCTGTAGTTATGCTGCATAAAAGAAGTGATGAGAAAACACAACCTATCTCTTGATCTTCACTTTCATGTTTACCTTTCTTTTAAATATTCCAATTCCTCATGCCAGATCCTCTCTCGCTCTTTACTTTGATAATCAATAACAAACTTTGGATATTTATTAAATATTGGATATTGCCCTTTAGTTAATGGTACAAAGTCATCCAACATGCGTTTAGGGTGGATATCCTCAGGTGTCGTCTCCATGAGGTGGTATGCTTCTTTGATCACAGCGCTTAGGTCCAGGTTGTTACGTTGATGGAAGAAATGCTTAATCAGATAAAAGACAATTTTAGTTTCCAGATAATATATAACACTTGTATCAATTTCTCTCTCCATTCCTCACTTTCATACATGTCATACATAATAATTTTAAACAAGATTACAAATGCATCCGCAAAAGCAAAAGCAATACTTTATAAAATGACAGGGCTTCAGGGTCATAAATATTGAGATACAGATCTCTTCCTTTCTGCTTTTGGTGAAGTCTGTGCTCCGTATCAAAGCTGAAACAATTTCATATCCCATTACGACTTCTCTTTCAATTTCCCCTCTTAGAATATCTCTGGATATGCACTCTTGGTATCAAATAGATAGTGCTGGTTCTGTTTTATACCTATACAGGACTTATTGTCAACTGCTGCTATTTCTGGATTCCACTGGCAATGCTAATATGAGATATGAATTGTGTGTCGATAGTTATAAACTAGATTCATTTCCGGGTGAGGGGATTGCTTCATGAGAAGAGATCAAGCATAATAGCCCCATATATTCTGGAATATAGAAGAATAAGAGGCAATGAGCCTTCTAGTTTTTTTGGGAGGTGCACCTGGCACTTTAACTGCACAGCTTCTTTTTTGCACAGCAACTTAAGAGTCATTTTGTTATTGGTTTATGCAGGATTGAGTTAGGCTCAGCTTGGTTGGAACAATAATAAGTATTGATTACAAAATTCTAAGAAGGTTTGAGATGGTGGTGTTGAGAGGTTGTTCCTCGTGCTGTAAAGTCTATAAATGGAGAATAGGAGAAGGGATTAGATATTTAGGACTGAGTTGGAGAAATTTCTTCCCTACTCTTACTTTTATTTTTATGCTCTTATAACTATATGATGAAATGTTGCAGAGCTACTTAACATATTCTTAAGATCTCACATCATCTCACATCACATCACTGAGAAGGTCAAGGACAGAAGAATCATGGGAACACACCTACGTATTTGCCTCCAAGCCATCCTGACTTTGGAGTATATCAGTGTTCCTTCACTGTTACTGGGTCAAAGTACTGGGATTTCTTTCCTAACAGCACTGTGGGTATACTTAACCATCATGGAGGGCAGCATTTCAAGAAAGCAGTTCACCACCATCTACTTGAAGAGAATTAGGGATGGGCAATAAATGCTGCCAAAGGAGAGCAGAGAAGTTTTCTCAGCATCTCAGCCAATATTTATCCCTCAAGCAAAATGAAAAAAACAAATTATCTGGTTATTATCACATTGCTGTTTCTGGGAACTGTCTATGCACAAATTAGTTGCCGTGTTTCTTACATTAAAACAGTGACCACACTTCAAAGAAAAACAACACCATTAGGTGCACAGTGCATTGAGACATCTCGTTCTTCTGAAACCTGTTAATAAATCGAAGAATTGCTTTTTTCATTATTTTCACATCTGCAGCGGTCATATTTTGGCACTTGACAACTTGGACTCTTGGGCTATTAAGAGCTTGGGCAGATCATTTCCCCCTTTTTTTAAGTTTCTGATCCTGTGTGTTGCAGGACAGGTGTCTCCCCAGATCGTGACAGAAAAATCTGAGGATTGCTATGCGGTATTTGGTCGAGAATTATATCAACAGTGGCCTGAGACGAAGCTACATAGTTAGTGATTGTCATATTTCAGGAATTTTTGGGGCAACTATTTCTCCCCACAGAGAGGATGTGGAAAAAGTTATTTAGGTTTTAAAGTATAGTGCATTCACACAAGTTTAAATAAAAGTGATGTAAAGACAATCTAGATGCTAGTGAAATGGTGTTCACCCATATAATGTAAATAATAATTTATAATAATCATCACCCTGTTTTAGCATTCAACAAACAATTCACTTATACAGAGAGTTGGGAAGACTCTGATCCCTTTCTAGTTGTGAACATGGACTCAGGAGATGTTTTAATTTAACAACAAGTAGGAAATTAGGAGATTTCAGGTTCAAATTTAGACACATCCTTCACACATGCATATTTTACTCTGCATTGACTTCAAAAGAGCATAAAAATTGGACAGAATTCAAAATGGGCATATGGTCCAAACACAAATATTAATTTCGTTGAGTGGTTAGATAAAATTACTCAGACTTTTTTTTGACACTGAAAGCACTGACTCATGTGCCCACCAAGTACTGCATGAATGTTAAATTGAAAGAGGTACTTTGCTTAGGCCAAGCAACATGACCCAATGTGAACAACAGTACAATATAATGAAAATCAAATAAAGACAAGTTGCACAGTTTGAAACAAGCAAAAACAAGATTGGCATGTGCTGTGAAGTAAACTAAGAATTTATATCTGGTACCATCTTAATACGTAATAGCTCACTCTGCTTCGATAGACTGAAGATATACATGTGCAAAAGAAACAAACACCTGGTTCAGACCACTAAACACTGCTAACCTTTCAACACAATATTTGTCAGCGTGATGACTAAACCATCACACTGACAAATATTGGGTGCAGACCGACTATGGCAAAAATGAGAACTGAGATGAGTTACAAGGGTGAGTATTACCACTGAAAAAGGGAAGGTATTAAAGCAGGGTTTAAGTGTGCAACAGAAAAGCAAGAGAAGTGACAGTGGAAAGGAAAAAGACTGTAGAGAAAATGAGAAAGAGAGATGGAAAAAGAGATAGAGAATAAGACAGAAAGAAAGAAAATATGGATGGCCTCTTTGTAACAAAATAAAGACATACAGTGTAAGAAAAAGTGTTCTCTTCATTATTTATCTATTCTATTGAAAGAAACAGCACAAATGGAGCTCAAACTTATTCCTATAAAATATGTAATCCTCCACAATTAGCAATAATAAAAATTGAACTTTTTTTCTCACCTCAAGGTCTTCTTTAATATTGCATCGGAGCAAAGGAGTTCGTGAACAAATTAAATAGGCTGCTACTGCCACCAGGAGGTAGGATGGATGATTAGAGAAAACATTATCAAATAGTTTAAGCCATTCATCTCTTGTTAGCACTTCTGAGAAAAGTGTTTCCATTAGAGGCCAGGCATACAACTGTGGATAGAAGGAAGATTGCTGAATGTTAAAATAAAAGATCAGAAATGAACCATCATTAGCATTACTTAAAATACTAAAGACAAGTTCTGAAATTTGTGATGTAAATGCAAGGCAGAATTAAATACCCTGAATTTGTTCTTTTGGAACCTAGGCAGATTTCAGAATTTCTCGAACCTCCACACCACCTCCCCAACCCACCCCTGACAATTAGCACACTGCATTACAAGTTACACCATATGCATCAAACCAGGAGATTAAAAGGAAAGGAATACTCTGGGACAATAAACAGAAAACTGGGTCATTGCATTTACTCAGAGATAGCAAGAACTGCCGATGCTGGAATCAGAGACAACACAGTACGGAGCTGGAGCAACACAGCAGGCCAGGCAGCATGAGAGGAGCTGCATACTGTGATGTCATTGCATTTATTAGTGGGTCATGTTGTGAATTACAACACCATGTTGTCATCTTTATAATCTGTGTTTCAATCTAATATAGAGTTATAAAATGAAAGCTTCCTCCTGTGTAAGGACACAGTGAAATTAATCTGGAGGGGATCAACACTGCTCCAAGGTGATGCAATCTCACTGCAAAAAAAAAAAAAAAAAAAATTGTTCTGCTTTTAACACTAAATTGTTCCCCCATTCTTGAGGAACAGCTGATGTAGGAATATCACACTGGTAGTTTCTGGGGTTGGGGATTAACAGGTCTTGATAAAGGAGCCTTATTCCATGGGCAGATAGGCTATGCCAAAATTAGGAATGCCCTGCTTCCCCATCAATTTCTGTATGTCAACATATGAGTCACAGTGAAAGGACAAAGACAACAAATACAAATTTGGTAATACAAGAGAATGGAGATTAGCTTGCTACCTGTGTGGTTATGTTGTATTTCACTAGGTGATGCAGAAGTTCTTTGTCATGATGAGCAATAATATTCTCAATCACACAGAGGACATTTATTGGAGGATTTGGAAAGTATTCAAACCAGTGTTGACACCAGTTTGCTAGAAAATAAGTAAAGTTGAAAGATTAAAACATTTATCCTCAATATAAAACTCTTCTTTTCACAAATCAAGACACTGTCCAACTCTTTCTTACTTATTATGGTGGCAAGAACTTCGAATCCAATTAACTGGTTGTTTTGAAAAAGTTTGACAAACGGAAATGCCAGCAGTGGAAGGTAGGAGACCTCAGCGAAGATAGCTGACCAGTGAGCCATGGCTGACAAAACCCTGAAAAATATGAGGCACAAGACATTACTAAAATTACATTTCACTTTATTTCTTTTTTCATTGCATCTCTGTTCTTTAGATTGCGATCAATCCCTCATTTCAGTTTGCAAATGGGAAGTGATGGCAATGTTGCCATCGACAGGAGTGATAGTTACGTTTTTTTGAGGGAAATATCAAATGGTTTATATTCTTAATATTAATTGCTTAAACATGTAGACTCAGTTTTAAGGACTTTGGTGGGTCAACAGTGATGCAAGAATGAAGCAACTCTCAGTATGCATAACATTCCCCAAAGGGCATGCATTCAATGCCCTCAATTCCCACACAGCTTTGCCCTAGTGATGCTCAACATGGTAAAACTTTGTTCATGGGATGTGGGTGTTGCTGGGTATGTCAACATTTATTTCATTAGCTGCCCTGGAAATTGTGGCAGTGAGCTGCCTTATTGAACCACTGCAGTCCATCCTTTGTGGGGACATGACAACGCAGACAAGAGAGTTCCAGGATTTTGACCCAGTAACATTGATGGAATGGTGATGTAGTTCCAATTGGGGATGGTGAGTGGTTGGAAGGGAGTGAGCAGTTAATGTGTTGCCATGCACCTGCTGCCCTTGTCTTTTTGGCTGGCGGAGGTTACGGATGTTGAAACATGATAATTCACTGCACTGCGTCTTGTAGATGGTACCCACTGCTGCACTCCAGGTCTGTGGTGAAGGGAATGAATGTCAAACATCTTGAATGGGGTCTCAGTCAAGTGGGCTGCTTTGAGCTGGATGGTGTTGAGCTTCTTGAGTGTTGTTGGAGGTGTAGACATCCAAGCAAGAGGAGGGTATTTCATCACACTCCTGAATTGTGCCTTTTACATCATGGACAGGCATTAGAGAAACTGGAGGCGAGGTACTTACCACAGAGTTCTCAGCCACTGAAGTGCACATGTAGCAACATTATTTAAATGGTTGGTCCAGTTCAGTTTCTAATCAATGGTAATCTCTAGGATATTGATAGTGGTGGTGGGCGGGGTGAATATTTGAGAAAATGGTTAGATTCCCTCTTGTTGGAGATAGTCATTGCTTGGCACTTGTGTGGTACGAATATTAGTGCAATATCAGTCCAAGTCTGAATATTGTCCAGGTTCTGCATATGAACACAGACTGATTCAGCATCTGACGAGTCATGAATAGTGCTCTATAAATGGGCAAGTAAAAATTGTCAGTTCACTCTGAGGACACACTTGGTGCCTGGCTGTGATACCAAATTCTTGACACCAAACCATCCCAGAATTGTCAAGGTTGCAATTTTAAAATCAGAATTCTAAACAACTGACTTAATTCTCATAACAGCTACAGAACCAAGCCATGGGTAAGAAAAAGAATGCTACTGGAAAATGCTCATGTTAGCAAGGCCTGTACATATTCAAGTTAAAACCTTGCCAGAGTATCTTTGTAACTAGTTAAAGTTTGCAACACACCTTCGAAGAATTCTTAAAAGTTTTTGACTTTTGATAGGATATCTTTCGTGAATTCCCATGTATGCAGCATGTGTCCCTTTGTCAGTGAGGCTACTGAATGCTGCGTGGTTCTCAGGCAATTGCAGCAAAGACCGCCAAATAAACATCCTACAATCCAAAGTCAAAGATGGAAAAGGAATACTCATTATTTAATACAAAAGAAAGATAGAATTTACAGCACCTAAACAGACCAACTACCCCAAATTGTCCACACCAATGTCCATGCTCCTCACAAGCCTGTTTCCACTCATCTTTATCTCACCCCAGAATCACATCCCTCTATTCATTACTCCCTAATAAACTTATCTAATTTCCACTTAAATGGGGAGGTAATGGCCTGGTGGTATTATTGCTGGACTGTTAATCCAGTGACTCAAGAAATGTTCCGGGGACCCAGCTTCGAATCCTGCCATGGCAGATGGTGGAATGTGAATTCAATAGATATCTGGAATTAAGAGTCTAACGATGACTATGAATCCATTGTCGATTCTCAGAAAAACTTATCTCATTCACTAATGTCCTTTAGGGAAGGAAACTGCCATCCTTACCTGTTCTGGCCTACATGTGACACTAGACCACAGCAATGTGGTTGACTCTTAACTGCCCTCTGGGCAATTAGGGATGGGCAATAAATGCTGGCCTAGTGAGCAGCGCCATCATCCCATGAATGCATTAAAAAAATACATCTGTCCTACTCCCTTTAGCTGCTCCCTGTGGTAGCAAGTTCCCATTCCGACCACCATCCGGGTAAAGATATTTCTCCTGAATTCCTGATCAGATTGTTATCGCAATATTGTTGTTATCTCATTGTTATAGCAATATTTTTAGAGGCAAACTGTAAACATTAATTTAAAATTCCACATTATGAATTTGCAAAGATATAAAGTACATTCATATTTTGGTTGACTTCATTACTGCATTCAAGGCTCATGCACTAAACAGGGGTAAAGGCTGCTTGTAAAACTATACACACATAGATTTATGATGGAGGCCAGTTTCTGACATGGTGACAATGGTGAAGTGATGACAACTGGCTTTCAGTTGCCTGGGCAGGGAAGCGGATAATCAACCAGCATTCTCACACTGGATAACCATCTCCCAACTCCCTGTGGTAAGTGTACTAGTGTAGATAATGCACAAGACCAGTTTAGACATGGCTGCAAGTTGCCTCTGAGCGAAAGGCTCACAAGCACTCATTCCATTTACAATCATTTTAAAGCAATTCAATATTTCATCAAGCCCAGAACAAACTAAACACACAAGTATTTGAAGGGGTGGAGGTTGAAGACTCCCGAGAGGAGAAACTAACAACAAGAACAACAAGACTGCTTAGATTCCTCTAGTGTAATTTATATTAATCCACGTATTAGACATATTTAAAATCAATTTAGTTACGGAGTTGTAGGTATTTTCAAAAATTTCAGTGATGTACCTGTACTTCTCTGGATATTCTCCAAATTCTTTCAGCAAGGCCTGTAGCCGCTTTTTATTTAGGCCCGCTGGAAGCACGTTCTAAAATATTATGAAGAGAACAATAAATCACCAACTATTTCTCTTCTTTGTGCTAGGTAATATGTCATATCATTAACTCAGAATACTTCAGCATTTGATGCTAACTATTCACCATGGAATGTCAAACCTGTGCAAGGTTTTAAAAACCGGAGGTGAAAAAGGGAAACTCTTAAGTTCTAATGCATTTTCACTGTTGTAAAAAGAAAAGAAGAAAATGCAGATAATGTCACAAAGTTTTAGCAGACATACAGATTGCGTGACAATGAATTGCATAAACCAGAAAAGTCCTAGTTTAAATCCCTGCCATTTGGCTAAAGATCTGACCTCGGCTGGGCGGTTGCTGTAGCCTTTCAAATGACATCTAATAATCAATCTTAACATTTTATGAGGTGAAAGGGAAGGAAGCAGTTGTATTTCTATGGTATCCTTCATCACCTCAGATCGTTCTAAACTGTGTTCTAGCCAATAATGTATTTAAATATAGTCCCTGTTGGCATGTAGAAAACACATCAGGCAATTTACACATAGCAAAATTCTACAAACAGCAATGTAGTGCAGCTGTTAGTTGAGGGATAAATACTGGTTAGGACACCGGGAAGAACACCCCACCTCTTGTTCAAAATAATGCTGTACGATCTTTTCCTTCCAACAGAGGGGGCAACTGGAGCCCAGATTTCACAACTATTCCAAACAATACCACCTCCAACAGTGCAGGAGACCTTTACTGCATTAGGCATTGGCCTGGATTACATGATCAAGTCCCTAGAGAATCACTTAATACGTAATCATCAGATTCAAAGGTGATAGTGCTACCCACAGAGCCACAGCTGCCATTCGGTTTACACCAAGGTGGCTAATCTCAGCTGTAAAGGTGATCAATGATTGGCTTCAGCACACTGAAGCTGGGAAAGCCAGATGAACAGAGAAGAACATTTGCCATCTAGTGATACCACTTGTCAATGCATTAAGTGATTACTGTCTGAACTCTCTGTGAAGAATGGCCATTCTCGGCAATGTACAAGAGAGTAGTCAGCATCAGGAATCATATTTTTAAAACAGTCAGTGCCAAGACGTGAGGAAGAGAAAAAGTAAATCAAATTAGTTTCTCCACCTTTTAGAACAGTTAACCTTTCTTAGAAATACCAGCAGACAACAAGACTTTTAAACAATTTACGTTAGTTATGAATTAATTGTTCCAAAATCAGCCATCAGGGTGCAGTGCTTTAAAAAAAGTTTTTAAAAAAAATGATTTCATTCAAACTCCCTTGACCCTGCCTTCCGACCTCTTTATCGTCCATAATGTTGTCAGATGATTTTAACACCCTGGTTTGGATTTTCTTTCCAGTTGATAGTCCTCTCAAAGGCCTTCCAACTTTTCCAGATGTCACTCTTAGTTTCAAGCCAGAGACATGATTCTGATTTTGAGAATCCTTGGTCTTCTCACTGTCTGCCACAACTTTAACCAGTGGAGGAGGAGGCTGGAAGAAACAAAGGAAAGTGATGTGAGACATTAAAGCTTCCTCCACTGTTAATGGTTTCTCTCTGAAGCAACACAGATGAAGACATGCAGTGTTAACCAATGTCTTGATCTCAAAGAAGCAAGTGTTGGCTCCATTACAGTCTCTGTATTCTAAGCAAGGTGGTACTGTGAACTGTATCAACTGAGAGAGAACTGCATGATCATATATGATAAAGTCTAGTTATTTTATCAGGACTGTATTGTAGAATAAAGCATTATCATTCTTTAAATGTATTGTACCTGCAGAACAGGACAGGGAGGTGCAATAAATGCTATGAATTGGACAGAGATCCTGAACATTACACATTTTTAAACATAAAGTGATCCAGCGTTGTACTTTAAATAATCACAGACAACACTCAAACTGAGACAATAATCAATTTCAACTTCAAAATATAACTCTGTCGGAGTAAGATTTTGACAAGGTTAAAAAAATACTACGTATAAAGAGCAAATTCTTAAGACATTCCAAAATACTTCACATAACCAAACAACAAAAACTGAAGTCATATGTACAAAGATTCTCCATATTAAACTGCAAGTGCATTTATGAAAGTCAGAGAGAAAACACAAACAGTTCCACCTTTTCTTAAAATCTCAGTAACAGTAAATCAAAACGTTAATTCTGCAGTATTTTTGGCATGAAAACAAAGCTTTAAATCATGACTGGAATTCACAATGTCATTATACTTTTACATTTATTTTGTTAATATTGCATCCAATATACTGCTGAATACCTTATTTAATTCCTGTGACAAAGCCTTAACACTATAAATGTTAATGCTGCCATCCTCTAAGACCGCTACAATGTAATGTCCATTTGAACTGATTGCCGCAGTGTTAATTCCATTATCAAGGCTTCCGATGTCAAAAAGCAGTTTACAGGTCTGGATATTGAGAAACCTCATGATGCCATCCTGACTCAAGACTCCAATGACCTGCAACGTTGGTAAAATTTGTTACTTGCAACAAGAAAAATGAAAACCAAACAGCAATAATATATCAACGGATCTGCAATGATATGAAAGCTTCACACTATATGTGCATAAATGTTCAAACCTTCATTGCTAAACTTATTCAATCAATGAATTTCAAAGCCCAGAGAGAACCAATAGTGATCCAGAGTAGTGTCAACATAACGACATCAAAATTAATAACAGGGTTTTTACCTCTACTGTCCTAACTCTAAGTAAGTTTCAACAATAGTTACGTTTGCATGGACCAGTCCCCAATTGGCTTGCATTAATTAGAACCTGTGACTGCTGCACCCCCACACCTGCACCTGCATTCCCCCCCGCAACGCGCCCTACTATTCCAGTCTGGACGGAAGCAGTGTTCCAGATTTGCCTTTATTCCTCTCTCTGCCGACTATTTTAAATGAACTGGTATTTCTACCCATTCATAATCACTGATAGCAAATAAGGGACCTATATTATCTCTTTGCTCATCTTGTTTCATCATTCAGTCCTCAGATAGTTTGAATCAACCTCTAACCTTCTCTGCATCAGATTCTGGTTAAAACTGAACTCAATTCTTGCGATACTACTTAAGGCTGATGTGTCTTCCTCCAACCAGTACTCCATTTTGGCCATTAATGCAAACAATCAGCTGCTCCTCATGCTCACCTGGCTTGATCCACCATCAAAACTGTCAGGCAGAAATTCCAGATGTCGAATACTTCGCACTTTAGGAGGCATCTGAATGATCCGCTGAAGTTGCCTGGCATTCAGGCACCAGAGGTGAAGAAAGTTTGATTTTCCTCCTGCTACAAGAGCACGACCATCCCTGTAAGTATTAAAATTTTGACACAAATCCTTAATTGTAAGGTAATCTGTATATTTATAGGACTCAGATTGCACCCACTCACAACTTACACTCTTCCAGTATCCATCAACTCGCTGATCCACCCTAGCTTGCTGTTAAACCATACTTTAATTCTCAACTTTGTTCTTAAATTCCTCAATGGCTCCTGAGCTCAAAAAACTCCCAAAATTTCTGCACCCCTGCAATTCTGGCCTTTTGAGCATCACCAATTTTCAACACTCTATCACTGATGTACTTTCAGTTATCTGAGATCTAAGTTTTGGAAATCCCTCGCAAAACCTCTCACCCGCTGTTTTCTCCTTCAAACCAAAGCCCTTGATATATCCCGCCATCTCCTCATCTAGTTCAGTGTCAAATTTTGTTTAGTAACTCTCTTGAGAAGCAGCTTAGTATGTTTAACTATGTTAAAAACAGTACTGCATACAAATACAAAGTGTTGTAGTTGAGGGTGTCAGGAGGCAGTTGCGTGAGGAATACTAACCATGGTTCATCATTGCCCTCCTATCTTACAGCTGAATAGCCTACACCCATTAAAGGATCCAAGTTGTTAAAGCGGTCACTTAACCGAGGTACTTAAAGGAATTGAATAACTGTGCAGCAGACATGATTTACTCTTTACACTTAAATTTACTACCATCATGCTATAATAATACTGTGATTAGCATATACATCAGCAACGAGTCATGCGTTTTGAACAGGGAAGAAAAAAATTAAAAGAAAAAGAAACATTTTTGAAAAAAATTAACTAGTAAATTTTTCATAACTCTTTAATGAGTGAATGTTGCCTTTAATAATTCTCAAAATTATACCATTTTTTGTAAAAGGTATTTATAAATTAACCAGTTGAATGAGAGTTGCCTTTAAACTACAGAAGGTAGAATGCATGAAAGTGTGCTCCAAAACCGAGGAAACACACTGCCAAGCTGTAAAACATACTTAAAACAATATCATCCAAAAATGAAGTTCAAAATCATGATGAGTTTTGTTCAGGTAAA